AACTCAATATAACGGTGGTGGGCTAATATAACTGGTAGTAGAGTGCGTAGTACGTGAGGATTGGTGGAAGAGAGAGGGGAAAGTCTCTTTCTTACTCTCGCTCATCTTGTTTCATAATAGTATCATAATAAGCAAAAGTTGTTATCATTGTTCATAATATGGAATAAGACGCCGATGAATGAGAATGAGAAACGTTCACGTGTTGTTAATGATGATGCTAAAGAAGTTGTTTAGGAAGAGAGAGAGAGAGAGAGAGAGAGAGAGAGAGAGAGAGAGAGTATGGAGTATTTATTCAATTATAAGCAAATCCTGACTAACTGACTGACTGACTGAACGAACACATAAGACTTGGGAAAATGCAAGGGCAGAGCTCAAGAGCAGGAGGACGAGTCGTATAATGTTTTTTGTGTAAATAGCTGGCAGTAATGTTTTGCGGCTTTATGCCTGCATACTTGTGTTGTTTGGCAAACATCAAATATAAATAAAATGTGTTTTTTTTTTTTTGTCGCTCTTGTTGCTGTTGTCGTATCCCTTATATCGTCTATTTATCGCATTTACTCATTCCAATGCGGATATTTACCGTTCAAGGGATGATTAGCTGTTAGTTGAAAGTATTTCGCATAAAAAAAAAGAGGAATTAACATAAACAGCATTTTGTCGAGTTAAATTGACTTTTCCTTGTTATCGAGTTGTAAAGATTTGGTTGGGCGCGTTGGTTTACAGTAAGGAAAGGAAGGAAGTGTGCACAACTTTTTTATATATATTCAAATGCCAATCAAGTTTTTATCGAATTTCATTTAAAATTTTTATTATCAAATTTATATTCATCAGCAATGAATTATTGTATGACAAGTTTATTATCCGTTAGGAAGTGTTCAGTTCGCAGCATCCGAATCCAGGCGAATAGTAGACATGAGTCGGCCTGCAAAAGCCTTTTGAAAAACAACGATAATAATTTTTTATAAAACAAAAAGTTCGTCTTGTGGAATCGTTTCTAATATTTACGCCTTGCATCGTTGTAGGCGTGTCCTTTTACCATCCGCCTATCGGGAAATTTAATTGAAACACCGATTTGCTGATATATATTTCGACTACTTTTTAAAAAGGTAATGCCAGCCTCCACATCCGAAATTTTCGATGGCAGATAGTTAAGAAAGTATTGCGTTCCAGGCAATAACAATCGGGGTTTCGGATGTCGCAATATATGATTCGCGTTAGTCTCTGGTATTGTAAATCAATTAATTTGAATAGAATTATTAAATAAAAGCGAGTTTGCGGGATTTTCAGATTTTGTGCTTTTTATGGGGAAAACAGCTCGTTAGAGGGAATACGCACTCGAAATTTCGAAAGATGCAGTCAAAGGCCTATGTTTTTAAAGCGATGCAAAATCTACTTCAGCGCAGCCGATATTCGCACAATGCCCACCACCAACACGGTTGATATCCTTGAGCATCATGCTAATCTGTTCTGCAGAAATAAAAGAGGTTCGCCCACTTCGACTTTCGACCTTGTCAAGCTCTTTAACAGGACTGTTCGGTTTTCTCCGTGCCCCCATCCATTTATCCTTGAGTTGTTCACATACCGCACTACACAGTGCCACGACTCATCGTTCTTTTAGTTTACCGTACTGCCAGTCTTTAGAACAACGTGTACATGCCGTGGTCTTTATCCCTATCACTTCGAACGCGGATAAACACTACTGCCTTTTCCATTCACCCTCGGAGGCTATAAATAGTTCTTACGGAGTCTATAAATAGTTCTTAAAGGCATTCAAAAATGACAAGTTTTGAATGCTGATTATCTCAGTTTAGATTTCGTTAAAGCTGATCTGCACCAAGCTATTCTCCTTTCGTTTTCTCTAAAACTTCCCTATCCGTGCTTTTTCATTCCTCATACCGCTCTTTCTCTCTTTCTTTCCCTTTCAATTTCTTTCACTCGCTTTATTGCTTTCTTTCCTTTTCCTTCTATCTGTTCCTTCACTTACCTCTCCAGTTTTTCCATCCTTCTACTATTCCTTCTACTACTCCTTCCATTCCGTCTTTTTTTTTTTTTTTTGTTTGTACGATGTCTTTGTACGACACATTTTATGCGAACTTTTATCGCGGTTAGAATAAAGCTATGACAGGAAAGTCAGTTCGTAATTAGCAGTAGCGATAATAGCTAATGAGTCATCATTTGCATAGACAATTAAGGCAATTATTCATAATCTAGAAGACATTTCTTTTTTGTTACATTTGAAATTCCGACATTATTACCGCAGTAACAAGTTCAATGCCAAACAAATTTCTTTAAATCAGTTAAACTGTTTTAAAAACGTTAATATTATTTACGAGTGACAGACAAAGCTAATCGTTAAAAGTGACAAGAATTTTGTAGCATTGTATGCGATGTCAATTAGCAGCTGCAAAATGACACTTAATGCGTCTCCAAATTGATTGCGCTTCTACCTAAACAAGTACTGAACGAAGAGGAGAAGATGATAGAGTACAAAAATAAAAAAAATAAAAATATATATATATATATATATACATGTACATATATAAGAACCGAGAATATATTTATTTGGTTAGAAGACTTAAGTAAAAGGGCAGTAAAAGCAGTAAAAGCTATTTATTGTAACTGCAGTGAACGCATTACGGCAGATTCTCTATAAAGTCGACGAAGACGACAACGACGACAACGACGACAACAATGCCACTACGCAGTAAAGATAAACAAATGCAAACAATTGTCGTACTATCGTATCTTCTTATATAGTTACTCTACTGTTTTTTGCATCTTCTTAAGCCGACTCTGCTGACTGCTTCTTAGTTCTACTTATTGTTGGCAGACACAACAAACTGAACAATTGTTGTGTTAAGCTTCCGTAAAGTTAAACATAAATTTATATTATACATATATAAATAGATATATATATATATATATATATATATAGATGAGTGTGAGTGTGCGTGTGTAACTTACTAATATCGGGGCAAAATTTAAAAAGTGTTTGTTTGCTTGTTTGTTTTTATGTTTGTCAAGAGTAGGCGCGTTGTTGTTTGGTGTTAACAATTTTAAATCACTTTTCTAGCTTTTGCTAATGAACTCTTAAAAGATTTGTAATGCTCGACCGAGAAACCGAAGAGTGGCGTGTTATATGTGCATAAGCGCGAGTGCGTATATAGTGTGTTTGTTTGTTGTGCGCGCAAATTGACAAAATAAATAAAGCGGGATGACTGTAACTATTACAGACGTTGTTAACGTTGTTGTGAGATTCTTTGCTTATTGACTGCCGTTTGCCTATATCTGTCTGTCTGTCTGTCTGTCTGTCTGTCTGTCTACCATTATGTCTTTCTATCCTTCTATACATCGTCGTTAGCAGTATGCAAGCAATTTTAATGTTAAAAGCTTCATTGAAAGAGTTTAACAATGACTAAAAGAACAATAACAAATAAATAGTAAATCTTCTGCCAAAACTATTAGAGTAGCAATCATCACCCTTCCGAGTACATTTACTTACTTATGTATAGCATATAAACCATCCATTAAGTCTTATGATGAGATGACAGAGACAATAATTCTCTGAGCAACAAGAAAAAAAAAATAAAAAACAAATGTGAAAAACAAAAGAATTTGCAAATTTGTTAAACAAATGAACGAAGAAGAAAAAGAACTTGTGCACCCACCATATATATATTTAGTCGTCAGCAACAATTAAATCATAAAATGAAAAATAAATTTTGTCCCAATGTTTGTTTTTTTTTTTTGGATTTTATTAACTGCTCGAGACAACCTACACCTAAATCGTGTACAATTCATTTATTCATTCATTCTCTCTGTGGTATTGTTAATGCTTCAACACCCATTTCATTTCGAGCTTCCTGTAAACGATTGCTGCTATGCCATTTTTACTTGCTATCCCCCCACTAGATGGTAAATTGATGGCCATGTAATGTTTTCAGTAAACAATCAAAATTCATTACTGCCTTTTATATAACAAATAGTAATACTCTACCAGTCCAGTTTTTATACTTCTATTACTTGGGTTACTCATATACAGACAGACATAAAGACAAGACATACATACATATCCTACCATATCAAATTTAATAAAGTCAATAAAACATACGTTTTAGTGGGGGACGAAAAAAAGAAGCACTGGGTTAGCTCATAATTTTGTATTCCTATCAAATGATTTTTCAAATACCGAAAGAAAACCATAAATTGAATTAATCCTTAGCCTTAACCAGGACTAAGGGATAGATTGACTATTTCATACTTTTAATATGCCAGACACTGTGGTGAAATGCCTGTTACTGGTATATTGTAATGTCTTTCTCTCAAACATATTTGCAGCAACTGTTTGTTGTTTCTCTTTTCCTCAACGATAGAGATCCATTCACTTATCCCTTTTTTTTATTTTTTATTTTTTTTATTTCTTTGTTTGCTTTTTATGCCATTCAAGTATTTGGTAAGCAAATAAAATTATTTAACGTTTATTACCCTCATCGTTAACGTAAACGTGGGGATCATATGAATCTAATCGAAGGAGTACTCTGCCCTTAGGTACGACACAGGCAGTTTCTGTAGCCAACCCATTTCCGTTGACAACGAATTTGTGGAAATTTGATATTAGTTAAAATTATTTATTTGTTCACTCTTCCCTTCCAAACAATCCCCATCTTCCTCCTCCTCCATTGAATGGGCTGTGATTTTTATAGGGGTTGCTGCCGTTGTTCAAACTTTATTTTCCTTTTTGTTTTTTTCAAAAAAAAAAAAAATATATATATATTTATTCACTTTTATGGTGAATAATAAGCTTATCTTGTGCACGAGTTCGATGTTTATGTTCTCTTGTGAGATTTAATTTTTTTTTCATTATACGCATTAAATAAATTTTATTATAATGAACGTAACAGTAGTTAGAAAAAGAAGTAGTGACTTATGTAAAAAACGATTGTTTTTTTTGTTTGCCAAACTAATCAACTAATTATTTATAACAAGTAAAAATGACTTACCTTATAATGAGAAATCTGAAAAAGAAGAACAAAAAATTGATTAAAATCGATTTGGCAATAAATTAGAAAAAATAGAGTTTTTCAGCTCACTAGCTATCGATTTTGGGAAAAAAACGTTTTGAGAGATTTTGTCACATTTTTGTTTTTTTTAAATTTTCTTTCACTCAAAATTAAAAGTCAAGTTAAGCTGCGGTAATGTTGTAATCAAAGACATTTAAACGAAGCAAGATCACTTAAACACTGTAAGAAGCGTCAGAGCTTCGCAGCTAATCTGCAATTTAGAAATGTGTAGGGTCTGACGTTGCCATGACTGATTGAAGATACCGCCATCTCCACTTATCAGTTTCGTCAAAACAATATTTGCTCGCAAAGATGTTTACATAGAACCAAAGGTCCTTCCAGCATGGAATTCATATTCGGTCGGAAAAATAGTAACAATCTGTAGCTGCATAGTAGGGATAATACTGTATCTTGCTCTTGAAATAACAATTTTCCTACTTGCAACAGCCTCTACTCGTTGTCCAATCAGTCGACTAAACTAAAAGCTAAACTGCGAGTTAATTCATGCTAAGCAAACTAGTGCATCCTAGTTCCGCTTGGTGTTTGAAATTAATTTGATAAAAAAATTTAAATAAAAAAAAACGACTACGAAAGATTACGATATGTATCTACATCGCTATGCATTTAACAGTTAAGCTTGGATCTTTTTCTATAAAATGACTTTTAAGGTTATCACGGTGTTAACAGGTTTCGCTTGAGTTGTTCTCTACGACAATTCTCTTAAAAAGTCAAATTCCAGGATCGTTTGAAGTTTTCTTCTTCTTCTTCTTCTTCTTTATTTCACTTAAGGATGCAATTTTGGTGTGGGATTCCTTTTTTGCACTCTACATTAGTCGTAGGCACTTGGGTCTCTAAATATGGTTTAGTTTTTTTTTTTTTTGTTTTACAGGTGAATGATGCACTTTTCTATAGCAATAACGCTGTGTTTGTAGTTCAAAGCACATATTGTTGAAACTTGAGAGCAAATATTAACATAGTCAAGAGGAAGCCTGCTATTGAAAGGCGTTAAAGTTTATTGAAATTTTTGTTCCGCTATAATTTGATCAATAACAAAACTGAAATCTTCTTCTTGATGAACGTCAAGAGGTAAAAATAAATAAATAAATTTAAAGTGACGATTTCATTTCAGCTGGACAATGAAGGAGTTTATCGATATTGCAGTAAACAGAAGTTGCGATGATTACTTTCAAGCTGTTCGCCAGGGTCACGGTTAAATTGAAAAAGTAAATATTAAAACTTGAGTTTAAAAGATTACTTAACTGATTTGCTTCAGTTTTTTTTTTTTTTTTTCTTTTCGTAATGCGTTTCAAGAGAGAGGGAGAGTAAGCGAGTAATACTTGAGGCGATAAACTGGTTAAGTGAAAATCCCTGTTATTGCAGAATTAGTAGGTGTTGACTTTTAATTGCTTTTTATCTTTTCTTTAACTCATTTTCTCAAGTATTTTATAATATTATCCGTAAATATATACTTTTAAAAGGAATTTTTTTCAAGTACTTGAAGAGTTTTTCTTTATATTAATAATTCCTTAATTTATGATCACTCTTTGGCGGTATCATTTATAAAAGCCCACTTGAAATACAACTCTTTACAGTAAATAATAGTTTAGTACAAAAAAAAAAAAAAAAAAAAAAAAACAACATAAGGAAAAAGAAAATGCGATAAACTATTTTCTAATTAACGATTCTTGATGTTGTAAACATTTACAAGACAATCTCTTCATTGTTTGTTAAATTGATTTCAAGTACTCTTTGTATTCGTTTCCTAGTTACCTAATAATGGTTTTTTCGTATGCTTCGATTCTCAATGACCACCTGCACCCTTATTGCCTAACATAGACTTACTTTCTGTATATCACCCACAGAGTGTTCGCACAATTGAAGATAAGTGCATATCTTTCTTGTGTACTTACACTTAACATCAGAGAGCAAAGATCTCAACTGAACACAGCAGCTGTACTTGACTATATGAGGATCAGTGTTCAGTTAAGTTATTTTGAAAATATTAATATGTTTATATAGATGCATGCATGTGTATGTGCATATGGATGCGTGCACGTGTGCGTGTGCGTGTGCGTGTGGGCTTGAATATTACTAAAGTGATCATACTTGAAATGTTCAAGTAGTTTTCGCTTGTTTGCCTTAAGATGACAGTAGATGACCAGAGATCTTAACCACAGGACATTTGTAACGAGACTTTTGTCCGAAATCAACATGAAAATAATTGCAATGACACATAAAGAAAACAAAAGAAAACAAATCTTTTTTTCAAATAAAAAATTTTTTTTTTTTTTTTTTAAAAATTTTTTTATCATTTTTTTTTTTTTTTTTTTTTTTCTTTAATTCTCGTCTAAAAATAC